GGAGTGTCTTGTACTTTTTCCAAAGCCAAAAGTGTAAGTACCTTTAAAACTAATTGTTTTTGTGTAAAAAAATTTTTGGTACAAAAAAATTGCGATCGCGGACCTTAGCATCAGGGGTGTATTTTTGATTAACTCATGCAGTTTTTGTTGAATTGGGCTAAAATTTGACAGATAGCTTCGTCCTTTATGTCTTACGTGATGGTTTAAAATCCGTTAGGTTTCCTCGTTTAGAAAAAAAATGGCAGTCGTTTCAAGATGGTACTTTCAGTGAAAAAAATAGCTTTTTAGCTACAACTTTATAACGTGATATTTTCGGGGTTTGCTGTTAAAGACAAAGTTTTCGATAAACTTGAAATACAACTTTTTCGTGTTTAAAGTTTTAGTGCTGGATGTAACCCAAACGTTCTGTGAGCCAAAAAATGCTCAAAAATCGCAAAAACGTAGTTTTTCCCTATCTAACTTATTTGTTTCGTACTTTAAATTATGATATTGTTCGTCAAAGTTGTAGATCTTATTAGATCACAACTTTTTTGTGCAAAACATTGTTACCTAGGATGCAACGCACTCGTTCCATGAGCGAAAAAGTGCTTGTAAAATGAATAAAAAGACGTTTTTCCCTATCCAACTTTTTTGTTTTGCACTTAAGATAATAAATTAAACGTGATAATTTAAAGTCTCATCGAAATAAAACTTTTTTGTATTTGACATATTTAGATATAACATTAAATTTGAGCTCTAAATCGCAGAAATGCCGAAAAATTGTAAATTTAACGTTTTCTCCTGTCTAACTTACTCGTTTCTTTTATTTACATTTTAGATAACAAAGCTAATGTAAAACTTATAGATCTTAAAAAAATATAACTTTTCTACACTAAAATTTATGTCTGTAAGATAAAATTAACGCCATAAATCGCAAAAAACGAGTTAATAATAGCTTATTTAAAATTCGTACAATTGACACTCAATACAAAGTTAAGGGCGATAATCATTGTGTTCAAAGACTTTTTTTTTATCCCGTAGGAATGTGTGCATTTTTTTACCAATCCTACACCGAAGAGTACCAACTTTTCACCCAGTGTGGTTATAACAGTAATAAATGTTCCCTTGTATCAGTCGTGCCTTAAATGCAAAAACGCAGTTAATAATTTAGCGGCTTGTTCACTTTTTAGTCTTACAACGATAAACTTTTTTTGTTTATTTCATCGTTTATTTATTAATGTATTATTATTTCTTTACTTAATGTTTTTTTTTTTTTTTTTTTTTTTTTTTTTTTTTTTTTTTTTTTTTTTAATGACAACGATGCTACCGTCCAGGGTATTATTTTATTAATTACTAACTATTAAAATAACTACTATTTATTAAATTCAATCGTTTTATATAAATTTGATTCTTAAATGTCACGTGCAGCTCCAATTTCAAACTGTGCGCTTGATAGTACCACCTACAGCTTGCTAGGTGGCAACTACTAGTTTTCGGTGAACATCGCAAGTAAGAAAGTAGCTTACAGCACATAAGAAGGGCTGCGCGATCTCTCCAAATCATCCTTCCGGATCACCCGATCTAAGCCAAAGCTAGGTTCTCACTGGCTCGACGAGACCTACGCTACGGCTGTGGCTATAGCACTAATTGATGTTAATAAAACAGCAATGTTTACAACCACATAAGACTCAGTGTCTCGATGCTGTTTTTACCCACAGTTGCCAACCATTGTCTAGACCCCTAGGTGCTATTACCTAACGGCTAAAAGAAGCAGACAAGTATGATAACGGGCTCGTGTCGACTACTGCGAGTCACTGCCAAGCCACCCATCAGCGACACCAGCTTCAGCGGTGGCATCGGAATCCAGCAGAAGTTCTGTCTTTCCATACTTAGAGCCTCCAATCAAGCGTTCTCACCGTTGATTCATCTCTACGGCCAATTGAACATCCTCGGAGAGGATTCTCGCCCACCCCGACTCCCTTTCGCTGTTCAAAGCCACCCACCGCAATGTATTATGCTCTCCGCAAAGGTACATTGTATACACGTCCGCGCACACTGCACTATATAGGGTGTTACACGTCATTCTCTAACATGCTTCTTTGAATGGTGTGTATTGTTTCTTTAAAAATAGTAATAAGGAACCATATAATAGAAAAACAAATAACTTGAGACGAAACCACGCTCTGCTACTATTTTTTGTTAAATGATTAATCGTAATTATTTAACTTTATCATCCGGTAAAAACTGGATGTTTATGGATGCGGGTCTAACACTCTCTGATGAGCAACGGGACCAGCAGACTGTCCAACTATTTACGTATTTACTATTTAAGAATGATAAAAGAGAGAGAGAAAGACTACGTGTGTGCAGTTATTGGGAAATATTGAATCAATTTACCTCATTTCTTCTTCCATGGAAATTATGTACCTTTTCAATCTCTTTTTATAAGATTGTTACCATGTCCTATTATGATTTAATTAACTCTAAACTTTTACATATTTATTCAGATTTTATTACACTTATCAATATATTCAAGAACACTATTGGACTACGTGTAACAAACTGGCTAGTTGCACCTGTGATAAAAATTCATAAACAATTGGTCTACGCTCGATGAGCGGTGGAAAGCGACTAATTTAAACACCACACGAAGGAATGCACCTTGCACGGAGCTTTAGTTAAAACTTCTTTGTCTTACATGTTATGGGTCCGATACTTGCTGACTGCATGTGTTTAGAGGTAGCAGCTCGCTTCGTTTGTCACTTGACACTTCCGAGATCTACGAAGTACACAGTCAGCTTTGTTAGGTGACGACTTTCGTTAAGTATGACTCTTTTGAAAGCCTTAAAATTTTATCATTGAGGGGATAAATATAACATAAAATAATATAAAATAAAAAATTCATTTTACTTGCACAAGTCGTCACCTAACTATCAATAATGGTCAATTTAATCTGAGTGAAAAGTCTTACATCATTTTTTGGCAATGTTATGTTATGTTATATTACGTTTTACAATGCATGTTAGGTGACGACTTGCGTAAATTAATAAATTTTTATTTTTATTCTATTTTATCCTGTTATATTTCATTCCCAATGATAAAATTTTAAGACTCTTTACAGAGTCATACTCAACGAGAGTCGTCGCCTAACAAAGCTGACTGTGAACTTCGTGGCTCTTGGAAGTGTCAAGTGACAACCGAAGCGAGCCATGAAGCCTAAACACATGAAGTCAGCAAGTACCGGCCCCATAGCAAG